GTTGAGGCCTGTGTTTGAGCAAGACATCAGTGTCTCCAGGGAAATCACTTCTTTAAGGCAGATGCAGGCCTTACAGCTGGTTTTGGAGGAACACATTAGCTTCAGTCCTCCCTCTGTTTCAAATCTATGCATTAATTAAAGACTATAGCAAATATGACTGCCACAAACACTGAAATTCAGCTCATCCCAGCTGCACTCTGTGCAAGTAGGTCACACGAAATATGCTTAATACAACATATTAGCTTCAAGGCCCGGTGAGTGTTGCTTTGTATGCAGTGCTTGGGGAGTGAACTGGGAAAGAAAACTAGTTCTTATTAAGTCTTGATTAAGTAAAATCAATCTAGGCATTCCCCAGGTTTTCTGAAAACAAACAAGACTAACTGAGCTGTATTTCCTTCAGACAGCCTCATATTTCCACACCAAACAGAGATAAGATGTCTCCAGAACTTGTTATCCTGGAACTTGACTTCTTGAAGAAAACGGTCAGAACTTTTCCTTCATGTGTCTGTGGCCTTTCAGGGGTCTGAACACAGCTAAGCAGAGTTTTAGCTCAACTGGGGGACATTTCTAGCTATACTCTAAGCTGCTGTTGGGATTTAAACAGGTGAAAATGACAAACAAAGTCAAAATACACAACTCTTGATGTGCTATCAATCGTGCCTTTGGGGGCACGATTCACACTAGACTTAATAATCCCCAGGGATCCAGTCTGAGGTATTTCAAGTCACCTGCCCTTCACACAAAAGCAGGCTGAAATTCAGTGCAGTTAGAGAAAGCAGAGTAATTCACATACTGGACTGAGTTCTCAAACCTCTGAACCAAGTTCAGCCCGAAGGCAACTAGCAAATACATGGAGTAAAACGAGTAACATTTTGGATTTTGCCATGTAGCTTCAGTGAAGCCACTCTGAATTTGCTCCAGTGTTCCTGAGCTCAGGACTTGGCACAGAGAGGGTAAATGACGCATCCCAAACTGCACTTGGCCATCAACCAAGACAGGAATTTAATGACTGATTCTTGTGCAATCTTCATGCTCCATTCCAGCTCCATTCCAGCTCCCCAGAGCTAACGTCCCCTGTGTGTGAAGCACCAAAGCTTGGTCCCATTGACCAGAATGAAAAAGCTCAGGAGGTGATCAACCAGAATTTGGGCTTGTGCATAAATCAAAGCTGCATGCCCACTGTCTGACCCAACAAGTACAGTCTGCATATGTGCCGCTTGGAGTACCTCAGGCATAATGGTCCCGATACATAGAAGGTACAACATGCCACATATTTTAATTTGCACCTATTACCTCATATCTCTTTGTATAATTTATTTCCATGCCTCACCCTACTCACTAAAACAAACTTTCTAGCAATGAGTGCACAGAGTGCCTTTTTGTCTACAGTCAGGTGTCATTTGGGAGACCTGACGTCTCCGTTACTGTTTGTCACTGATCTCAGAGACAGGAATAAAAGATTCTTTAATATCAGGAATGTGACAGATGCCAAAAAAATGACTGTGAGATTTACTTCCAGCTTTGGTGAAACATGCGCACAATTCAAAACAGATCCTCACTAAGCGAGAATTGCTTTGCACTGCAAAGGCAGCTTCAAAATAATCAACAGCAGCTGTGGCTCTGGGAATAATCAGCATCTGATGCGGAACAACCTAAGCCATTCAGGACAAACTTGTTGAGAATATGATTAGGTCTTGTCAGAGAAGCGATGGTCTCCAAACAATAAGAACAACTAATGTTTCAGGCTTTCTGGAAATGCCGTATGAGCTGTACAAGCTCACCTCTCTTCCAGTTTATCAGTATTGAAATGATGTACCTGGATTTTATAAAGGCTTAAACAATTCAACAGCCACTAGAGTGCCCGAGTGGTTAGAAAGAGAAAGTGCATATCAGAAATAACTATTATGTTTTTATGTCTTCTTTCAAAACGTTGTGCATGTATCACTGCCAAAGGTTGTATCCCTAAACTAGAGGAACAATTGTGTGACTCAGTAAAGCAGTTTCACTGTCCTCATGCAATAGTCCATCAAGACAAGTATTGTCTGGTAATAATCTTCCTTCACCTTCAGTTTCTACTATGGAAATCAAACTTGAAAGAAGGTGAAAAATATGATAATCTTTCTCTCTCACTGATAATCGCAGGATGGAAAGCAGAAGAAAAGAAGCCTGCTGGGATAAATTAGCAAGGTTTGAAATATATAGTTTGAAATATTTGGAAATGAAGCTGCTGTATGGTCAAGCTGCCATTAACATGTGTCCTCCACATTCTAACTGAGCAAAGATATATTGTAGAAGTATTTGAAAAATCACATTCCCACCAAAACCTTATAAAATTATTGTGATAGTTATAAAGATGTAAACATTTTTGCATTTCACTGGTCCAACCCCAGTACAATGAGAACTGCAAAATGAATAACTTAGTGGTATTCATAAACTGGCATGTAGAGCTGAATTTCTTTAAGATCCAGGCCTATATTCTTGTGAGATAAAAGTGTTATTTGCAACCTGACAGAAAAGATCTTTTCTTTTGCACAAAAACTTATAACAGTGGCCACAAAATAGTTAGCTGCAAGAGTCTGACAGAACTTTGTGTAGTTCATTGCATGGACGGCAGAAAGCAGTGATGCTTGTCCTTGGGGCCGTGGTGAATTAAGTGTCCTCCTACATGTTCCTGTTCATCTGGCTAGAATCACTTGCTAATGTGAGCAAGTGAGTGGCTTTGCACCTTGGACCTAAGGACCCACCTGCCGCACTACTGATGCTCCATTTGTTGTGATTTTGGGATGACTCCCCTGAGGCCATTTACCTGATTGATGTTGCACGGTATCAGTTAATGAAAATGTTGCTATTGAGTTCAAAGGGAGCAGGATCAGTTTGTTCTGACTTTACCGTCCTGAGTAAACAATATGATCAATGATTGTCAAGAGGCTATGGAGTAACACCTCTTTAAGCAGTTCACATTCCTCTCTCAGTTACTCCCTACATTCTGAATTGCAGAAGCTGATCAGAATGAGCATCACTGCTTATGGTCACTTCTTGTTTAGTAAACGTGGCTAACTGGCTGCTACCTGAGCTTGTGAACTTTACACAGTTTTTCTCCTGCATTAAAGCAAAGAAACAAAAACATAGATACTTCGCAACATATCACGGGATTTGAAATGTTGGAATTGGCTGAAAAAGCATTTGTAATATATCATTATGGATGCATCGTTCTTCACAAGAGCCCTTCATGGAGTATGGATTTATTTTGTGCTAGCTTGCACACTTCAGCTAGTGAGAAACACTATCATTTCCTGAGGCCTTTGAAGTTCTATCTGAGTCCTCTTCCAGCAAAAGGTTGCTGACTCTGACAGAGTTATGCTGTGTGGGACTTTTTATTCAGGCTGTACCCCAGGAAGGCCATGATGCACAATAATACTTCCAGCTTCTCAGCCAGCTTCAGCATTAGCCAGTTATCTTTAGGGAGGCACTAAATAGATAGACAAGATAACATTTTGTTCATTAAAAAAAACAACTATGGCAACATCACTGACCATCGTGCAGAAACAAACTTAGCAGAACAAAAAGGAAAACATTTCAAATAAATACAGTCGTACTGGCTTAGGTCCAGGGTCTTTCCCAGTGTCCTACCTCCAACAGAGGATAAAAGCAGATGCTCATGGAAGAGTAAGGACAGAGCAAGCATGTACAACACTTCCTCCAAGAGTTCTCCCAACCTCCAACTATTTTGAGCTCAGAGGATTTTCTGAAACTGATGAGGCTCGTCCATTTAGGACAATTTAGGTCTGCTTAGATCTCCTTAGTACCTTCCAGATATTTGTCCAATATCCCCTGAAATCTGCGTGAAATTCTGCACCTGCACCATCCTGTAGCAAGGAGTGCCGTAGAGCTACACCTTTCTTATTAGGAGTCACCCCCTTCTGTATATTTTGAACCAGATTCCTGTATTTGATGCCCCTTCCAACAAGTTATTGTGTTGGAAGAGAAGAGGAAAAGCTAATCTCTATTCACAATTTCCATGTCATAACTGTGTTGTAGACCTCTATTAAATCCACCTATACCTTACTCGTTTCTAACTAGATCCTAGCCTACTCCAGTCATTCATTGTAGAGAAACTATTCCATATATCTAACTTAATTCCCATCATATATGGTAGTAATTAGACCCCAAAAAAAGATGGTGTTCAGTTCACCATTCTTCCTTGACAACAGCTTTCAATAAGCAATTGCCCTTTCCTTTCTCTGCCCTGAAACATGTAATAAAAATTACAAAGTTATACTTGGGTTTCTCTACTGAAAATTCAAAAAAGGGGGTGGGGGAAAATATCCAGCTTTTGAGTTAGCCTTCACTCATTCAGTCAGCCAGTGCACCCAATGATCAGTGCTGAAACAACAGAAATCAAAACACCAAACAATTTCCTTGGTTAGCTCACAGACAGAAAGTTTCTATAAAGACTAAAACGATATGCTCCTTCTTTAAACTTACCGAGTAATATAATTTACAGAGCTCTTGTAGTTCTGTGGGACAAACTTTTGTGAGAGGCTCCATATGGAGATTTAGGGAGGTTTGTCACTTCTCTGTTTCTTGACAAAGTGTATGTGGCAGAGAACATGGGGCAATGGTGTCAGTGCCTTCCCCATAAGAAAAAAAGGTGTCCAACACTAAGTGAGGGGCCCAGACACTCTGATTTCTTTCTTTCTTTTTTTTTTTCCATAATGAGTTTCGGTATCCACATGGTAATTAAAAAAAGAAAAAGAAAAAAGACAGAGAAATTCCCAAAGGAAGCTAATTAAATATTCTCTCCACCTCCCTCTCCCATGGCGACCATCGCCGCAGACAAGCAGCCTCCCGAGCGGTCGCCCCTCGCCATAGCAACCGGGACGTCAGCCCTGGCCGCAGAGCGCCGGAGGGGGGACG